TTCTGAAGATGCAAGCCACTCGTGCTTGCGAAACGTCAAGAAGAAATTCTACCGAACGACGGCCTAAAAACCCGAAAAACCCATTAGTTTCAAGAAATGGCCTCGAAAGTCTATTTTTTTTGTTTTAATTGATTCACATTTTCAGCTTACCGTTCCGAGTTTTCCACGTACTGATACGGCGCTGAGCTCAAACTAGCCGTATACTGAATATTTGAGCCCGAACTTTGATTGGAACTGACCGTCCGTTGATCATTCAAGCTCAAAGTTAACGACAACGGTTCACTGGTGTTGCAAATAGCGCCACTACTATTGGCCTTTAGAGTGGAGTCTGTGGAACTGTACGTGTCCTCCAGAGCACTCAAACTCTTCGGACGGTCGGCCGGTTGGTTATCGGCTGCTGAGAGAAAATCCGCACCATCACAAACGTCCGGTTGAGTCGCTTCTTGGCATGGTAGACTGGCTGTGCTGGTGGGAATGTCCACCTGGAAGTTTTCCTATTAGATAAATGCCTGGATGGTTTTGGGCGTTGCGTACCCTTTCGGCGTTTAGAATCACATTTTCATACACGGGGCTCTTCATTGGGGACGCAGATGCGCTTCTCGGTGGCGACTTGTAAGTTATGCTAATGGTAGTGAGGATGTTTTCGTAGTTCGGACTGCTTGGCTGGCGTTTGGGGGAACTTCCGCCACTCTTCCTCAGGTTCTGGTAGGTGATTTCTGAGAGCGAACTGTCGCAGTTGGGTGAAAAGCCTGGCGTCGTATTGGCGCTGGATTCGCCCAGCTGTTTATATCCTGGCGATGTGGGAGTGGGCGTTAACAGGCTGGTGCCAGTGAAAAACTGCCTGTTCAAGTCCAGATCAGTGAACGACTTTGTGATGGGATGGTGCTGATTTGCGGCCAAATCCAGATTGAGGGACTGCCGTTTGGTGTCCAAATTATCGGAGTTTCTGCACAACGCAACACAATCGAACCTCGAAGGTTTGTTTCAAATTTTCATCATTACCTGGGGCTTTTATTCTTCGGCTCACTGAATCCCACGTCTTCGGGACTTTGGGGCGTTGCATGCACCACCGCAGTGGTGCAGACGATATTCTCCGGCGTGTTGCAGTCGATGTACTGGATGTCCGATAGTTGGTCTTCCAAACGGGTGCGTTTGCGAGACATTGATTCTGGAGACAGAACGACACGCGCTTGCTTTTTAGGCGATGGATTTACGGAATTGCCTGCGCTGGCGAAATCTTCTGGACGAGCTCGAGTTAGGATGCGGCGCTGTGCCAGCTGGAAAACACGCATTTGCTGTTTTACCTCAGAATTCGCTCAATTTAATGCAAAACATCCACAAGTTTCTAGCTTTTTTCGTTTGAGTGATTTCAAAAAAAATATCAAAACTTCCCAAAAATGCCTGATGGTGCAAGTGACAAGTTGACCATCAGGCATTTTTGGGAATTTTTGATACTTTTTTTGAAATCACTCAAACGAAAAAAGCTAGAAACTTGTGGATTTTTTGCATTAAATTGAGCAAAACCCGTTTATTAAAACGTGGTCGTTTCCAGATGCTGTCAAGCAGTTTTTAGGAAATTTCCGAAATCGCAGCATCAATATGAGCGAATGCCGCCCATATTTCTTCTTAAATAATTATCGTTCAACCGAAAGAAGCTTCAGACGAGTGGATTTTTGTACTAAATTTCGAAATCTTGACAACAGGCATTTTTTGTAAATTTTTTAGTCGCAGCCTGAAATCGAGCAAATGTTGCTCATGTTTCTTAAATAAAAATTGCCAAAACGAAAATAGACAAACGCTTGCGGATTTTTGCGACAAATAAAACAAAGTCCGTTTATTAAATCGCGGAAGTTTCGAAATGCTGTCACCACCAAGCAATTTTTAGGAAATTTTCGAAATCGCGCCTTAACATGTACAACCCACGCGCATATTTCTTAAACGAATATCGTTCACACGTAAGGAGCTTCAGACAAGTGGATTTTTGCACTAAATAGGTCAAAAGCCGTTTAACAAACTGTGCAAGTTTCGAAAAAAACAGGCATTTTCGTAAATTTTGAGTCAAGTGCAGCTTGAAATCGCACAAATGCCGTTCAAGTTTGTTAAATAAAAATCGTAAAACCGAAATTAGACACCCACTTGCGGATTTGTGCATTAAATCGAACAAACCTGTATTATGATGCTTGCAAGTTCCGCAAAGTTTGCTTCATAATCCGTAATTTTTGGAAAAGTTTCCAAAACCGCCGGTTGAAATTGAACAAACGCAGTCCATAACACTTTATTGATCCTCAAAATGATCGATACTCACGTCCTTTTGTATCCTGGGTGAGCTGACCAAACTTTCATCTTCGGAGAAAATCCTCATTTCCGATTCCTCCAGGTCAAAATTCAAATGAATTTCACTGAGATCTAACAGCGAGCCTTCGGAATTGTTTTGCGACGACTGTAGCGTGTCGAAGTACGAATCATGCGACACAGATCTAAATGAAAAGGTTCCGTCGTTGCACAAAAACAAGGAAAAAACGGAGATTTGCAAGCGTTACCTGTTGTGCCCGGGTGGTTTATTCAATGCATGCAGCGGCCCAAGAACATCTTCAGTGCTGGCCGGCTCCGAATGTCCGGAAGTAAGACTTTCTGCGGATTTTACCGTTCTCAATTTCTTCCGCATGTCCGTCAAGTCGGACTCGGTCACCGATTTATCCTGCAAATCACTCTTCTTGTATTGGGGAATTTCTGGAAACCGAGCCAAACTCACATTGATCGTAATCGGTGTTGACGCTTTCCTCGTTTTGGTCACAGCCCCAGGCGCAGAATTCCTGGAGGACCTTGTGAAGAACATTCTCCATCCTAGCGGCGAACGCTTGGTGTGGCCTCGTTTTCTTAGACCTTTGAGAGCACTTTATTATTGAACTTTTTTCGTTGGTTTCTTATCCCACATACCTGGAGGCAATTCGATGATGGTGTGGTACTTTTTCGGCAGATTACTGGGGCCTCCGCCAACCTCTATATAGTTGCACTCTTCAGATTTGCTGGTTAAATGTTTATTTCTAGGGAAAAACAGAACCAGTGAATAACTACTAAGCACCCTCTTTCCTCTTTCCCACCTGGCTTCCTCCAAGGTGATCAGCTTGGTGGGAGTGGATATATTTAAACTATTGGGCCGGCATTTTTTGGCCAGCAAGTTCTCCTTTTCCGCCAGTTCCGGATGGTCGAGGTTGGGCAAGTGATCGCAAAAAATTAGGTCGGCGTAACAAATCAGGAATTCCGTCACAACCGCCTGAAAATAAATAAACACTCAAATACCTGGAATCGTTATTTGCACGTATGTAATTCAAACGGTTAATTCTCTTAACAACACTATCAACCGGGTCAGGTGCAATAAAAATGCTAAGATAACCGTAACAAATGTAATTGGAGGCAAATATTTTCATTTTTTCAGAATTCCTAGAATATTCCGATCGGCGCCAGCGGCCCGAATAGACTGCAAATTTAGTCAGAAAAACTCGCTCTAAAAAGGTTAAATCTCCTCATACCTGCACTCCAACGCCTTGCAAAGCGGCCACTCCTCCCACTTCCAGGGCTTCACATCTCAAGAGATTTGGGGCCCAAACAATCGCCAAGTTGCGAGTGGTCATTCCAGTGCTGCAGCTGTGATTGGACACTTTGGCCAGATGTCTCATCAAATACTCCAACGTTCTGAAACATGAGTAAAACGCATAAATTTAAAGAAGTCGCATTTTTTCGTTCGTGGTTTTTGAGTAAATCGATATCTGAAATGCGTCTGATGATTAATTGATAATTAATAATGAATAGAACAAACAAAGCAAAATGATAATTGCAGTAGCCAATGATAAACTTGATCAGTAGTCTGCATGAAAACATATTTTTTGGTCTCCATTCGAACAAAATGTCTATGCAAAACTATTTAATTCTTCATTATCATGTTTGGTTGCTTCAAGCCGATAACAATGGCGAATAGACCACGCTTTTATAAAACACCGAAAAACACCTTTACGGTTATTGCCACAAAATATTCTCAAAAATGACACGCTTAAAATTTTATTGGTTTCTTTAGTCAAAAATTAGACATGTTTTTCGGTAAAAATGCTTGTTTTTTACAATGCATTTGCAGTAGCAAACTATTAAAACTCTCACCTATAATGTGGAGGTGGTAACTTTTGAACAGCCTCCCGCATCTTCAACAATCGCTCATGATCGGTTTCCGTTGTTCTAATGGCATTTCCACAGCCTTGAACTGCGTTTACGAAGCTTTGGTACAACTGATACGTGCATAAAGGATTCGGTAGTTCTCTAGAAAAAAAATCACATCAAACTAGCTGTGCTAAGTGTTAAAAACACTAAAAGACGTCTAAAAATACCACAAATTCTATTGTTTCGGCAACCAGAAGATTAATTGAAAAAAAAAATGGAATTAACTACATGCAGTTAAAGATAAACATACTATGATTTGGGCAAATAATCGTTTAAAAGTAGTAGGTAAAAAGCATTAAAAATGTATGTTTATTCAAGTGTCTGATATTTTCAGAAGGTTGATTCTGCCAGGGTTTTAAGAAAATCCCCATCTTCCGCCCAGATTTTTTGATTTAACAGCAAACGGACTTTGTGGATCCAGGAATTTTCAGCAAAAACTAAACTTTTTTTAAACTAATTCAGATGTTCCCAATGTAAACCTAGTCATTATTGAAAACAACATTATTATTTACATTCAAACATACACGGATTGGTTATTTCGCACAAAACCCGAGAAAATCTCTGAACAAACGACTTAATCTTTATTACTCTTCAGGATATTTTATGCGACGACTTTAGACCACTTTTTCTACGAATCACAACAAACAATGACGTCGATACCGGGGATTAATGTATAAAAAGAGCATACATAGATAGAATAACTCTGAATACAGGGGGGCAGAAAAAAATCGGGTCGAGATTCATTTCAATCACTCATTAAATTGAGCGCAAAATCAGCCAAAGTTCCAGAACTTGTTTGTGAACGAACACTCTGTACAAAACATTTGATAGCGATAATAAAGTGGATATAAAATAAATGATTCTCACTGGTTTCAGTCAGTTGTTGATAACATTGCGCTAGTGTTTAACGTAAACGAGTAGATTTTTGCATTTGCGCGAAATTGACTCCCTAATAAAAGCAAAGATTTTATTCAACTATATTTTTTTACTTAAAAAAATCGACTGAATATTAAGGTAAGTTTTCAAAAAAAAATCAACAGCAATAAAACTGTTTTATCAAAAGAGGAACGTGTGATCTTTGCGTGCATCCAATGAGTTTTGGGGCTTTAAGCAGCGAAAAACTCACCAGTTTCAATGTTTTGTCAATTATTGAACATTGTTGGTTTGCTACAATCCACTCAAATACTTATCAGTAATTAAACAGTTCAATCATAGATTCATTCTATTGTATGAAGTGGGTCAAAATCTGAAGGACAATAGCACAATTTCGGATTTATTTACAGAAAATATTAATTGAAAAATGTAAACACTCGAAAAATCGTCAAGTATAAACTTGTATTAATTTAGATCGTTTTTGTTCCAGCAGCATGAACAAGACTGGCCTAATAATGACGACTGTGATACTTGTGGGAGCGTATTTTACACTAAGTGGTAAGTTGCTGGGTTCGCTCAATTAAAAATGCTTTTTTCTACCTAAACAGGGAATATTCCTAATTAATGATAACGAGCCGAGAAAAGCAAATAATTAATTAATTTTTTTATCAACACGACATTCTGATATAAAGCTGAAATCTTGCCCACTTTGTGACGTAAAAGTGTGCATTAAAAGCTATAAAGCATCTACCCCGGATTCTTCCTTGCATATTTTAAAATTTTGAGTGTTTTTTGCTGCTTTTTCTACCTACTTTTTCCAACTCAATCGTTTTTCAAGCTTTCAGACTATCGGAAAAAGCCGGAAAAACTCACCAGTTCTTTAGTCGCTCGATTGTTCCGCAATCACAGCAACTAAAGTATTAATGAATTCATCAGAAAACAATAATACTGCCTAATACCAGATAGATAACAATATGAGCGTAAATCCCCTTGTCTAATGTGAATAAAACTCTATACGTTGATACCGCCTAATCTGGCCGAAAACCCAAATTAATTATTAGTTGCGACAAAAAACGGCAATAAACTAAGTTCCCAATATTACTAACTGAGAATATGCAATTTTATAATGAAAAATTGACAAAAAAGTGTTTTACAAACATTTTTTGCTTACAGTGGCATCGCCTCTTTCAATGCACGAGGAAACCGCCACCCACTGTGATAAAACGTTGGAAGACCAAAATTTGCCGGACCGAAAAGACTGTGCCCGATACTTCCGTTGCGTCTATGGAAGAATGGTGCCCAAAGAATGTCCGGAAAAAATGCTGTTCAATTCAGCGATCGGGAACTGCGACCTCTACTACAACGTCGAATGCGTTCAGCGACTGGAAGAACTCGAAGCTCCTGAAGACGATTTGACCGAAGCAATTGAAAGCCTAACCGGAAGACCGTTTGTGAAACCTTCCAAAACACCGCGACCAACATCTTCAATTGCCAGCGAAACCAGCATCGAAAGGAACAGTTTCACTGGTGAAACTTCCACGTTGAAGTTCGTCTATTTTCCGCACGAGTCCGATCAGAGCGCCTACTATAAAATCGAAAACGGCGCGAAGATATTGGTGCACTGCGAAGCCGGCAAAGTTTTCAGTTTTGATTTGGAAATCTGTGCCCGGCCGTGGAGTGTTTGAATGTTTCCGAATAAATCTTCAAAGAGTGACATCTGCGGGTTTGAAATATTCAAGTTAATGTTCGCTTGGTTCAATGCGATGATCGTCCCAGTGGAGAATCTCAGCTGTGCCAGAGGAGTCGCCCAAAAAATGCCAATCTTCCTCCTATTGGCCCGATATTAATTCCCAAACCGTTTTCAATTACACAGTTTTTTTGCAAAGAGTGCTTTATTTTCAATTACGGGTCAGTCTAAAGCAGAATTTGGACGCCGCATGAACATTGTTCTAATAGTAGACATTGATGGAGATCTGGCGAGTTTTTCGGGGTTTTAGACCCTTGTGGAAAAAAGTTTTCTGTCGCATCCTTGCCCTAGAAACTAAACCATGTTGATATTCTAGCTGGAAAGACTCCACACAACATATTTTAAGAGTCAAAGACTCGAAAAAGTTGCTGGCACAAGAAAGTAACTTAAAAATGTAGAAACATTGAAGTGAATTGAATTGAATGGAAAAATGTTTGAAGTGAAATTAAAGATTTCGATAAAGGATTAAAATAACTGAAATAATCGAGAATGTTTTGATATCTTTTTCGAACGGGTTTTAAGGCATTCAAGTTTAAGGCATTCATTTTATGCAAAGCCCTCATGATCAAATGAATGATGATCAGTTGATGAAACAACTTTGATCAAGTTGTTCTCTAGTTAAAATGACTTCTTTATACATTTTATTTCCCAGCATTCCCCAAAAAAAAAACTCTGGAGGTGCTAGATCTGGTGATCGCGGTAGCAATCTTATAGATCCACGTGTTCCGTTTTTTTAAAGGGAATATTCAAAAATTATCTTATTCGAAGAGCGTGTTTTTGTTGAAAGTAAATCTCTATTACTTCATTTAAACGAAACATCATCAAGGATTGGAAAGGTTGGATTTATATCATCGTATAAAAGTTTCGAAAATGCGGCATCCTGTACATAATAAACTGATAATCACAAAGAACATAACAGTAAACCAACCGAAATTCTCCACAACGTACCACAATGAAATTAAGCCCGTATTGAATAGAGGATTTGCGTAGTCCGCGGATTAGAGCGGCTAATACTTTAAGGCAAAAATGCGACAATTTATCTCACTACTACGAATTCCTGATGGCAGTTTCCCGGCCAATCGTTTGCAAACGTATGCGCTAAAATATATTGAAATTTACCTTATTTGAATAACCTTAAATCAGAACGTTTCCATGATGCTGAACCTGGCAGAAAAACCTGCAAATTTTCCTCAATCAGCCACCGTTCACGTGACAATATCAGCCCAAAGACCGCAGATAATCCTTTTCAAGTGATTACCGTTATTAGACAGATTAAAATTCAATTTCTCCAGGTATATTGTGGATTAAATTGAACTCGGTTACTTAATTGTTATAATTAGGAATGATCGGATTAATTCAATTATCGTGCCTGAACAGTAGAATCAGTTTTCAATCAACAACTAGTGTGTTTGTATTACAAAAAACTAAGAAATTGATAATAATGTAAAATAGTTGAAGATTTAAAAAAGCAACGGAAACCCCTAAAAGGGAATTAGGTGTATAAGAGCGGAAAAATCACCCACAGTATTAGGTAATCACGTAGACCATGATTATTGATTTTTACCTGGAATTTCAGCAGCAAAGATTTCTGAGAAAAGTTAGATTTTCAGTGGAAAAAATTATTTGAACAAAAAAAATTGCAGGCTCAAAATAACATTTCTTGTATACGGGGGGTTTCAATCCCTTGGCACAGTTCAAACCTGCATTTTCCGTTGATATTATTTTATCGCTTCAGAAGGCTTTGAAAATAAGGAGTCTATTCTTTCTCCCCTAGAATCTGATGCAAATGTTCCATATGAATGGAGCCAAGTTTCTTCCGCCAACATTGAAATTTAAAGCCTTTGCACAAAAAAAGTTTCAAGCAAATTCAAGTGAATTTCCACTCACCTAAAATACATTTTAAGCAGCGAAGCCACAGAGTGAATATCCTTGAGAATATCCTCGGTATACAAATCGGGAATCCTGTCTTCGTCAAAAGCGTTCCGCAGCTTCTGGATGTTGGATGTGATTCCCGATAGTCTAAAAATAAAGCTAAATAAGTACCACTTAAAACACTTAGTACTTACACAATAACAATGTAACGGAGAATTGAAATAACAAGTTTTCTAATTATACGATTTTCTCGAGTGTGTGTCTCTTAAACATTCGGGCAGAATTTTGAATCGGGCATACATCCAAACCCACACATCTATTCCAATATATAAAACAAATTGATTGAAATCATTATAGTACCAGGAAACGAATCTGATATTGGGCAACATGAAGCCAGTTTGGACATTAAAGATATTCAATTATGAACGGGTTGAAAATATGTTTACTTGCAAATTCCATCGGTCTCGTTATGGAGTAACTGAGGAATGTGGAAGATAAAAACGTTTGAAACATACCAGGTGTTTTATCGGCTTTCAGGCAAAGCTGGAAAATAATTCCTTCGTGACGTTTCGCAAGCACGACTGGCTTGAATCTTCAGAGATTGTTGCTGCGCCGAGCAAATCAGCTCTGCAGATGCACGCCCGAAAAACTCACCAGGTTCTCACACTGACCGCAAAAGCGTAACTCTTAATTAGTTAGAAAAATCACGATGGAAAATATTGAAATTACTCACATAAGCATCTCCCTATACCGGGTATGCCTGGGTAACAGCAGTGCATTTTTAGGATTTGGCGCAGTGCTGCGCAAATGGCTTGGTGCGCCAACTCAACGCACCGGCGCAATAACTCAGTTCCGTTGCTTGATGACTTTTTTTTCACTTTTTCTAGGTTTATTTTAAAGGCCATTTAGTAATAATAGTTTTAAAATGTCCAAATTTCAGAATTTTACAGTTTTAGCCAAGTTACTCTTTCTTCTAAATGCTAAATTTTCTAAGTTTTACTTAAAAAAATGCTGATAATCTTAATATATTTTCCGCAAAAAATTATGAAATAAATTTCGAATCCTTCGTCGAATTTGGAACAAAAATCAAACAATTTTCTATCAAAAAAACGAAAGAAATCTCGTCACCTCCGTTCTTCTGAAGGCTGTAGAATTTGTTAAGAAAAATGTGGTTTTTTAGTTTTGACTGAATTTTTCTTTGCTTTACTTTCTTCTCAAAAACGCTTTATTTTGTACAGTTTCACTTAAAAATAGTGACGATCTGCGGTATCGAATTCGGGACAAAAACAAAAATAAATTCCTACCGTTTTTTAGCGAAAACCGTTACGGTTTTCTCCAAAACCGATCACAAAACTAAAAGTTTTTAATCGAAAACGAAAATTATTTTCTGATGATTTCTTTTTTGATGATTTGACAATAATGGGGAGTTTTCAGCAAAAATTACAAAAATTTATTTTGCTAGAGATAGCAATAGAATTCCCCTCAATCATCGGTTTGCAATGAACGTGAGAAAACCCATTTCAGCTTCGTATTTGGCACAAAAACCAAATAATTTTATTCAGTTTTTTGCCGAAAATAATCAGGACTATCTTGAAAAAACGACCAGAGAGCAAAAGTTTACAAACAGTTATTGGAAAAATTCGCCGTCCTCAACGCTCTGAGGATTTTTCGTCTCTAAACAGAAAAATCGCATTTTCCTAACGTTTTACTGTAAAATATTAGTAATCTGAATATTTTATGCAAAAAAATGAAGAGATAGATTTTACAAGAAACCTCGTCAACTTTCTTTGGACTCAGTTCTGTTGCTGGGAAAATCTAGATTACTTTTTTTAAGTTGTTTGAACAAAGTAGTAAAACGTTACTCAGAAAAAAATTTAATAACCCTTTTGTAGATGTGAAAATTTCAGTCGGGTCTCGTAAAGTTTTAACCAATGAACTATAACTCATTAACCGATGAGTTGTAACTCGTTAACTCAACACAGTGTTACCCAGGCCTAATATAGGTGATTCAAAACTAGCGTCATTCATCTGGGGGTGTTTTAGGAGTACAGGAAATAATTGCTAGTAAAAACTGAAATATTTGCAAAAAACATTGTTTTCAAGGTAATCTGCTTCATTAACATTACTCAAATACCTGTTGCTTCAACATCAGATAGCCAATTTCTTAGGGAAATAAAGTCTGCCTGGACAGTCCAAACATGTTTACCTGTAAATTCCATCGACAATGCCATTGGTCTCGATAAATTCGGCGCAACTGCGCAAGACAGTGGGCACGTCTTTGCACGAGTTCAGCAGATGCTCACCAAGATCGCAGCCGAAGACGCGCTCTTTGAGGATGCCGCTCTGCTTGAGGCGTCTGCGCGATGGCCTGTTCAAAATAAAACTCCTAAAGAACGTGATCAGCTTGCCGTGTCGGCGCAGCACCGGTTTGACGGGGCTGAGCGCCAGCGACCTACGGATAGTCAGATAAAAGGCTCCCATTTAGGACTCGGAGTTGGTTAAATACATACAAAATTGGACACTATTCTATCATATGCTACGGTTTTTTTCTGGGCCAGGATTTTTGGGGATGCTACATTCATTCATTCAATCAATTCCTTACAAATTGGACAATTTTGTCCTCAGTTTCAGAGAAAAGTCGATTTTTAAATGCATTAGATCGGCAAACAGTTGAATATTCCAATGGAGGCTGGTACGCGTTTCTAAAGACCCTGTATTTGAAATTTATTACTTCTAAATAAGTACAGAACATTTCCCACAATCTGGTACAAAAATCACCAGGCCACCTATAAAATAACACTGCAAAAATGCCGGTCCATTTATAATGAATAACCCTGTACATACAGTATGTGCAAACATCCATCTAAGCCTGAGGAATTCCACTTATTCAAGTCGCTTTATTCTAGCAGAATCTTAAGAAGTTCTTTAAAATGATAGATTAGTATTTTGCATAAAAAGGACAATTTTGGAAATAATTAGCATGCCTTTAGGTCAATTTTCCATTGAAAATACCTCCGCTTGTTTCCACTAACAATATTTTCGAAATTACGACAGTCTTATTGTGAAGAAATATACAGGGGGCGCGAGGAGGATTTCAGATGCATATACCAACACAGGAACTGATAGATTCCTGATGCTATTAAACCCTCTTTATAGATCTTTTGCACACACTGTATGGCGTTGGACATTACCAATTTTTTACTAGATTTAAGAGCGATTTCCTACAGCCAGACTTACAAGAAGTACAGAGAGCACAGATTTATGGGTAAAACAGCATTCGGACTCACCCAACAACTGGTGGAGGCAAAGGCATGTTTCTCGGTACTTTATCGCCGATTATATGGACGCAATGTTGCGGAAAAAAACCGACTTGGAAGCCTCGTTTGCCCCGCCACCACATCGATTCGCCCGGACTCGCCATGTCGATTACGGATATCATGTCGCCCACTTCTAGATTCAATTCATCTCGAGCCTAAATTGGTTCATATGAATTAGAAATGCATCAATTCCATCAGGGACTGAGACGGAAATTACCTGCGAAACGTATCTTCTGACGCTGTACGCAGCAGCTACTGCGGGAGTGTTGATGCTTCTGCTCTCCTCGCTCGGGACAAGCAAACGGTGTCCTTTGTTGTCCATTTGGAGCCAGTTCAGTACAGGTCCACAGTTCACTGAGTTGTCCGCGATCTGACTGAAGCGTTCCAAGTAATAAGCCAGTTTTTGCTGCAAAAAACATTAATCATCACTATTCTAGGTACGTTCTTTCTCGGGATAGAGACAATCACATTGAGATACAAAAATGTACATAAAACCCTTGCACGGATTGATTCAAAATTGACTAACAACATTCTCCCTGAGTGTGCTTATTGCAGTCCGTTTGTTCGTCGTTGGGACTTTAGTTGGTCAATCTACAGTTCATCTGAAAGTACGTGGAGTTCGAGTAGTAGAAAAGCTTCAATTTCATAAAAAAATATATTCATATTCAATTCATAAAATGTCATGTCAAGTGAAACTTTTGAGTTTTTCAGGCTTCTAGGACTTCACAGAATATAATTTCCTGCAACGTTTTGCAAAGACGAGAGCAGATTTGGGCGGTTGTTTGCTTAAAGTTCATAAACGATGACCCTTTTTCGACGTATCGAAAGAACCATTTGAGGCACAGAACTCGTCTCCTGTCATTGGAAAGAGAATTAGAAGCTCGATTCAGTTTTTACGGCATTTACGAAGTGAAGCATCGCTTAGAAAATGTTAGCAGTTTCACAGAAAAAGCCAACATTTCAAGGTAACTATTGTAAATGCGCGATTGTTGTTAGAGGGCGAAATCCACTCAAAATGAAGCCGCCATTTCCGGCATATCTAAAAAACCTTTTGAGGCACAGAACTCGTTTTCCTGTCATTGAAAAGAGAATTAGTAGCCCGATTCCGTAAGAAGAACATGAGTGAGGAAACAGTGGCTGTTTTCACACAGACAAATTTTAATATCACACATTTAGGTGCAAGATAAGGCCAAAATCTCATGCATTTCGCAGCATTTTTGCTCATTTCTCAAGAACAAACTAAGCGAGAGCCCCCATTTCTACACCACTGAATAGAGAACTACATGAAGTATTTACAAAGTGAAGCACCGCTTAGAAAATGTTGGCAGTTTTCATAGAAAAAGCCAACATTTCCAGGCAACTATTGTAAATGCGCGGTTGTTGTTAGAGGGCGAAATCCACTCAAAATGAAGCCGCCTTTTCCGGCATATCTAAAAAACCTTTTGAGGCACAGAACTCGTTTTCCTGTCATTGGAAAGAGAATTAGAAGTCCGATTCCGTAAGAAGAACATGAGTGAGGAAACAGTGACTGTTTTCACACAAACCGACGAATATAAATATCACACATTTACGTGCAAGATAAGGCCAAAATCTCTTCCATTTTGCCACCTTTTTGCTCATTTCTCAGGAACAAATTAAGCGAGAGCCTCCATTTTTACTCCACTGGATAGAGAACTAAATGAAGCATTTACAAAGTGAAGCATCACTGAGAAAATGTTAGCAGTTTCCACAGAAAAAGCCAACATTTTCAGGCAACTATTGTAAATGCGCGGTTGCTTTAAGACGGCTTAAATCTACTTAAAATGAAGACGCCTTTTTCGAAATATCTAAAGAACCTTTAGAGGCACAGAACTCGAATCATTGAATAGAGAACTAGAAGCCCGATTCTGTAAGGAAAACATGAGTGAGCAAATTTTTCAATTATCTCTATTTAGTAAGCTAAAGAAAAATGAAACATCGAAAATGTATCAACTTGAACCACTTTCAAACCTCCCAGTAATAATTACTGATAAATCCAAACATTTTTGACAAAGTCATCTGCTCGGAAATGACCGTCGAAAGCTAAAAGCGCGCTGGCGGAAAATGGGGGCGTCCGCAAAAACAGCCTCCATTAAGGGCGAAATTAATGCGTTTTGGGTTTATGGGACGTCTGAAATTATCACTGCGACATTATTTTATCGATACACTTGCGTACCTCAATCCTCTTTATAATGCAAAGAGTTTCCACAACGTTGGAGCCGATTCTTTATAGAATTCCCATCAACATGCATGCAATTGCAGTGAAACTGAAGTTGATGCAATTTGAACCTTCCAAAAAGCCAGCTCAAGAAAAAAGAGCTCAGAAAGATCTTCCAGTCAATTTTATCTTTCACTGCCCATCGGTTGAGGTTAATTAACTTTCACTCAGCTCTTTTACACTGTTTTCGGTGCGCTCCAGCTACTGGCACAAATAGAAGAATCAAGGCAATTTCGGATTCATCCCGAATTGGTTTTCAATTGAATTTATTGCGCTCTAGATGGCAAGAAATCCAACATACAAATAGATTATGTGATGCATATCAAGCTGATATAAATTCCGCAAGACTGCCAGTTTACAATAATTACAAAGGCGACAGCACGTCTAACAATTCTGGCAACGAGGTTATCTGGGTCGCAGAAGATATTTCAAACAGTAAGTGGGACATCGCTCGGATTAGTCGTCGTCGACATAGCAAAATATTATCTGAAACTATTTATACGAGACACAAAGGCGTCTTCCATAGAGCCGCACAACCTACCGAGGAATTTCAAATTATGAAATTGCATACCTCGAGATCTTCCTCGTTGTTCGACATACTGGCAAGATCCGGCAGCTGGGAGATCTTTCGGTCGAAGATGCACTGATGCAGTTGTTCGTCCAGCATTTTGAAGTTCTCAAAGTTGCGTTGCACCAGCCAGCATTCGTCTCCGGATGTCACTTGCACCATAAACCATTCCGCGTCTTCATCTTCATTTGCTAAACCAAACCAGAAACGCTCATCTAACAAAGCTTTCAGCTCAACAAAATAAAAAAAATGTTGGCCTCTTAAATATTCATTGCAGGGACATTTTATGATGACTGAAACTGAGGTACTTCCCAAAAGCTACTGTTTCCGAATATTATGAAAAAAATACAGGGTTATTAAGTAAAGTAAAAAACTATCCGCCCTAAACTCACTGTGTTGTGAATGTAGTGATTGATCCATGCTGGTCTGTAAGGCGACTTGAAGAGCAGGCGGCAGTTGCACCCTTTCGTAGTGAAAATGGGCGCATTCCTCCAGTTTGGGAAAGCGACAAGGTTCCGCCCCCGGTTGCGGAACCCCTCCGGCCGCCTCCGAAATCTGCATATTGGCCGGCGGGCCTGCGGGTTCAGCGCATAGTGTCTGCAAACAAAAACACACAAAAAATTGGCCATAAATTCAACTCAGCCGCCTTTCCATTGACGATTTGTACAAAGAGCCCCCCGATATTCTCTGGTGGCATTTGACATGCAACAGCTGAAAACCACGCAAATAAATTTCATCTTTGATGTATGATGGGAGAGGAAGAGGAAAAAACGGGCAATGTGCGTTCCACTTTTCTTCTGCTGTTCGTGTTTTAAGGTTCATTAACTCGGATATTTTATTTTAAACAAACAATGCCGAGTAGTTTGATTGTTAGTTTCCATTTGTTGGGCGACATGTGAGAGGATGCACCATCAGATGACCGTCGAAGATTTTTATATCATGTACAATTGCCCAAATGCTTAATTTGGCAATGGCAGTTTAAATTGCCAGCTTGTTTCAGTCACTCTTAAAATAGCGGGCCAAAATGCGACAACAAAAAAATCAATGAAGCATTCCGTTCGTTCCAAAAGAGTTCAGCTAAGCGATTGCATATTTACTGGCTACTCTCGAAGCATGCGGCTTATTTTTAGGCGACATAACTGGCATAGCTTCCTTATTGTCAAGAAAACGAAACTAAAAGGGATGAAGAGACAACGAGGCTCAAACGCTAGATTCAAGTCTTTGTCTATTCGGTGTAATTGCGGCAAAGTGAAAGAACAAGTAAATCAATTTAAGAATTGAAAACACCGTTAGCAAGTATGACTGTACTTTATTGCCGTAAAAACAGTTAACGAGAAGGTAATTAAATACAAACTTAATACGTTTATAACCAGGATTTCTATCCTGGTTATAAAATAAAGTATTTCTATACTGCACTTTTACGGTGATTTATATGTCTGGGCTGATAGAAAATGTTGCAATTTGCTACAATTGCAAGCTATTTCCTTTCTATGGCCGTTGATTTTATGCAAAGTTTTCGCTCTTGCACTAAAATTAATTCAAATTTCATTGCTACAAGCGAAGTATACCGTTCTGCTAATTACAATGAGCATTTGGGCATGATCTTATTTCAATACCACCAGCCCATTATTCAGTGAAGAAATATGCTTAACATGTGGTTTCCCTAGAAGTTAGATTTTTTCTTTTTTTCTGGCGATATTTTTAAATTCGAATTTTGTAGGTCACAGTTTCGAAATTCCATCGCACATAAATCTGGATGTCGGTCCGTCCCGTTCGGGATTTATTGGCACCGTTTTCCACTGCGTTGATGATAGGAATCAACATAAAAACAATTTCGCACCGAACTTATAGCCTGGAGCGATGGGAAACGGTTTGATATTGTTTAATGTTGGTGGCTGTAAAACCGGGTGTTAATTTTGTTAAAATAAACCGACACGCCTGGCGAAAGAGCCTGGTTTCGTCGGAATGCCATCACTGTCTTTCAGCACTGCATTCTAATAGGAAAAACTTCGAAGTGATTTTCGTTTGCAAATCTTCATCGCCAATATTGAACACTCAAATAAATCTTGGGCTCAAAATTGTGCGGACAAAGTGATGGTGAAAAGAACAAGCGCTAAGCGCGCGAACAGTGATATATTTATATTATATCACTGGGTTATTGGAGCGTGGTCGATGGAAAATTGGCCTCGACGTTTCGTTAGTATGCATGGCCACCTGCTTCAAATGAGTTCAAAATTGTTTAACTTTTTTAGGGGTTCGCGGCAATATTTATCAATGAAAAATCATCAGGTTTGGCTCCGTTTCCTAAACCACCCCAAAGTAAACACGACTCGGCCCCAAACACAGCTCTGAAGGTGCTACTCATGTATACAGGCAAAACGTCGCAAATTCCTATAGACGATGGTCTGTCTAGTAACCCGAAAATTCCCAGTTCTGGATCGACAGGAAAAAATTAAGTTTTTGTGTCGATTTTGAACATTTAACATTACGAATTAGCATTGTTGTTGCATTAGCATCCATTGTATCGACAAATTGTTGTAGAATTTTAGATAGAAAGATCTGAATTTGTTGCCTTCTTCTCGGGAAGAATTATATTAATATTTATTCCTTTTCGTTCGAGAAAAAAAAATGAAAATTTTACATGCGAGTTTTCTGATTGTTTTCAGCCTTCCAATTCTGCATTTTTAAGGTGTTCGGAGCATTTTGCAAAATTTGATTTTTTTGAGAAATATTGACTTCTATTCTACCCTTAGAACATTTTCGGCAAAAGGCGAAAATTTTACATGCTTTTTATTTTTTGGGGCTTAGGAGCTTCCCCCCATTTTTATGATGTACGAAGGCATTTTGAGAAATTTGATTTTTTTGGAAAACGTCGACCATTAAAAGCCTTGAAAAATTTGGAGAAAAAAATGAAAATTTAACATGCGGTTTTTCTTATTGCTTTCGACCGCAAAAGCTTGCAAAAATTATGCATTTTTTACTTGTTCGGGGCATTTTGAGAAATTCCATTTATTGGGAAAACATCGACTTCTACTCGTAGAAAATTTTCGAAAAGACAAAAATTTTGCATGCGTGTTTTTTCACTGCTTTTGACCCAAGGAGTTTCCAAATTTTGTAAACTTACGGTGTTTGGGGCATTTTGAGAAATTTGATGTTTTCGAAAACCTCAACTTCCATTTATGAAAGTTTGGGCAAAAAAATGAAAATTTCACATGCAAGTTTTTTGACTGCTTTCGACCTGATGCTTACCAATTATTCACATTTACGGAGTTTGGGAAATTTTGAGAAATTTGATTTTTGGCGAAAACATCGATCCATCTATTTTCTATCCTTCGCTAGTTCTATTAAATCAAAATATACCATTGCTTATTCCTTTTAGAGGTTAAGCGAATTAGCCAGACATGAAGTTTACTAAAGATAGTATCGAAAAATGTAAGTGGATTTCTCGTACATTTTCATACGTTTTCCACTTTTGCTTCTAACTTTTTTTAAGATTAAAAATGTGTAGCAAACCCTTTTCCACAAGTCTATTTTTGTACATTTCTTGTTATTCTCATTCTCAACTAGTTGGAGAAACATGCTATCGAAATAGTTCTTCCATAAAGAACGGTCAAAAATTTTCATCGGTTTCACAGGCTTAAATGCTTCTAAAGCCTTTTCAGAAGTTGGGACTTTTCTACCAAACCCTAATTAGTAGCGGAAGTTTTTGATTCGTTCTATCGAAAACTTGTTTTCCGCTACAACTCGCAGATACAGCTAGATATACACTAACAGATATTTTTCCGATTTCAAATCGTTTTTTTAATATTCAAGAGTTAATTATCTTCATAAAAAATGTTCTTAGGATAACAAGGACATTTTCAACCGTGTCCCCGACGTTAAAAACGCTAAAAATGTATACATTCAATAAAAATGAGGGCTTTCAATTTGCAAATTCGATAACAGGCACATTTTTAACCAATTTCAGATGTAAATTTTCAAATTTCCATTTTTTCCTTCGAACCCATTTTGCCCTGTCTGAAATGCACTTGAATCGTTATTAGCTTCGTCTATTTGTGTTGAGTACAAAATCTCTTTGCAATGTGTCGACGATTTTGTTGTTTTTTCGCTTTATTGGCGTCACATAAAATGTTTGAGCTCTAAAACCGGATGATATCGGGTTGCTGTCATGCGACTAGATGAGAATAGACGAACAATGCTAATGACGCGGGCAAAAAACTCACCCTATAACGAGGAGAATCGCTGGGCAGCATTTTAAACACGTTAAAGGGCCCGGTTTTGCCCAAAGCTACAACTTCCAGCATTTTTAAGCCTGGTGAAACATTAAATTTTCCCAAATTCCAGCTTCACCCACATTTCTGCGACACACGGGCACACACACAGTTAATCCAAAAACTACATTGGCAGGTTGAATGGGGAATAAACCCGAATAACTCTTGGTCGCGTACCGCTCCTCAGCCTGTCGAATACTAACATTGGTAATCTTTTCGAAATTCCGACATGGACGGACACACTTGCTGCCGCACTAGTTTGTTGTCGATAGCGAAACAAGTACAACACTTTTACTTTTCTAATCCGTTAGAATAAGCGACCATTGAATTTTCAAATGCGATAACTCTACAGCCAGTCGGCTAGCTGAAGAGATTTACCACATGGAACGCTAAACAACACTGGGAAATAAATTTTATTGCTGGGACTTTTTGAAGTTTTAAGCTGCTGCTGCTCATTGCTCAAGCAAACATCTGCAGTTTACTGAATCGAACTTTACAGCTTGCTTGCAAACAAAATTGTTCTACTTGTTGCGAATCCAATTTTGCGCCTAGAATCGATTTAAATGCAATTAGCGCCGATTGTTGTAAAACCACTATTATTATGCGACATAAGTAATGCAGCAGATAAAATATTATCAATTGTAAACTACGAACAGCGAGTTGACTTCAGTCATTAGACCGCAAATCATTGAAAGAATGTCGCATACATTCTTTCAATTCCACAGGATTTGCGAAATAACATCGGTTACCTGCATTATTAATGCTGGAAGTTGAATCAAGCATTTCCGACTTGAATTTTCGAGCTAAAATCTGAGTTTTTTGTTTGCAATTTTATATTGCAGGGGACGACAACTTTGTTATCTTGGGTATTTTGCCATATTTATTTTATCATGCCTGAACAGTGAAGACCCAAAATTTAAATTCACTAGTGAAAAAGAACCAAGTTCATTTTCTGGATGAAAAAAAGAAAACTTGAAACTTTGGTACATAGAAAACCTACTCATTCAAATAGATATGTGATTTTTCACTCAAACCACCCGATACATGCACAAAAATTTACATGAGAGAGCAAAAATAAATTGTAATAAATCTAATTTTGCGAAAAAAAAGTTTTAATGAAGATGAGAATCCAAATTATAGCAAATCAAAATGAACCAACAAGCCTTCTTATTCCGTTTATTCGGCCGATTTGATAGAAAATAAAACTAGAAGCAAAATTTCAAAAACAAAACCTGATGACAAAATTGAAAATACAAAAAACGTACTTTACAAAATTCCTTGCCCATGTGAAATAAACCAGTGATAAATATTTCATAAAAAAAGTTT